TAACTGTCCTTTGTTCATTATCAGTGATGTATAATATTCTTTTGATGATCATAAAATAAATCATAAGTTTATCTCTTGGTGGACATTTAGGTCATTTCCAGCTTTTTGTTCTTCTGAACAATGTTGTTGTGAACATTGTCTACATCTGCTACACATGCACATCCATTGTTTTAGGTATATACACGTACAAGTAGAATTGCTAGCTAATAGAACATGTAAAAGTTCAGCTTGACAGCATTTTGTCACACTGTATCCCAGCCTTATGATACTACCTTACACTCTCCTTAACAATGTACAGGACAGGGCCAGGGATTTAGCTCAGTGGTTCTGGCGCCTGCCTTGTAAGCACAAGGTCCCGAGTTTGATCCCCGGTACCAAAAAAAAAAAAACAATGTACAGGACATTCATACCCTCATATACTTGACCTTGTCCCACTTATTTTTTGTTACCATAATGAGTGTAAAATGGTATTCCACTGTGGACTTAATTAGGATTTTTCCAGTTATTAATGTAATTGAGCATCTTTTCTTGGTTATTGGCCACATGTTTCATCTTCCTATAGTATCTCTTGCACATTTAAAAAATTTTAGTGATTTCTAGGAGTTTCTTTTTTCTTTTTTTTTTCTGTATTGTTGGTTGAAACAGCCTTCACACTGAGCTACATCTCTAGCATTTTTTTTAACAAGGCATGATCAAAATATGCAGTGAATTATTTAAATTTGTTTGTTTTTGTTTCTTTTTTCCTATCTTTTGCTTTGTTTTTATCCTTTTTTCTTTCATGTTTGTCTTTTCCTGTTAGTTTTACCTAATTCTATTAACTTTATTTTATTCTTTAATTGGATATTTTATCTTACTCTTCTCTCATCTTCCCTAACCTTAACCCTAATTCTATTCTTTCTTTTTCAATTTTTATTTCTTTGATTTTCCCTTCCCCACCTCTCCATTATTATTATTATTACTATTAAATGTTACTTTCTGAAGCAGTTCTAGTTCTTTTATGAGTGTCTTTATGAGGTGTGATAAAAAATATAGGGTATGCTGCTGCTGAATGTCATTCAATGGAAAGGCAGATTCATGGAAACCTTAGTGTGTCTTCCTCTACCTTATTCACTGCGTCTTCCCCAAAGTTAAAATGATCATGAAAGGTAGATGTCTTGAATAGATTCAGTAGAGGCAGCCACAACAGCACAACTAAAGACACTCACGAAAAAGGACCTTCAGAAAGTGGCAAGAACAACAGGATTACTGTGTTCAAAGCAAGTGAGAGTATTTTGAGGGAGACTAATGGCAGTGTGCCTTTTACTGTAATAAATCTTTTTTTAAAGTTCACTGTATTTTTATTAGACCTAATGTTTTTTATTTTGAGATAGGGTCAAAGTCACTATGTTTCCCAGTCTCGGTTTGAATTTGTGATTCTCCTGCTTGATCCTCCCAGAGTGCTAGGATTACAGGCCTATGCTTCCATGCCCAGCTTGTAGAAGTTCTTTATTTTGGATACTCATCACTTATCAGTGAAATGTGTCAAATATCTTCTCAGTTTGTGGTTTGTTTTTCTTTATCTTTGTACAAGCAGAAATTCTTTCTCTTTTTTTTTTTTTTTGAGACAGGGTCTCATTATGTAGTTCAGGTTACCCTCAAACTTGTGGCAGTCCTTCTGCCTCAGCCTTCCAAGTGCTGGGACTACAGCGATGTGCCACTATGCCCAGCTGTAAATTCTAATTTTTAATTGAATTGAATACATCAGTCTTTTCTCTATTATAGCCTTTATGATAGTCTTGTCTTCCTTAAACTATGATCATGTACATATTTGTTATTTTTTCTAATAAAAGTTGACCTTTTATGTTTAAGTCCTTAATCCAACTGGACTTGATTTCTGTCTAGTATAAGGTAGGGAGCTTGTTTCATTATTGTCTACATGGCTAACTTAATGATCAAAAGTGCCATGTCTGGCATCCGTTGAAGTTCCTTATCTGTGCAAGTCTGTTTCTGGGCACCTTTTGGTACTGACCAACTTCTTGTCCCTGAGCCAGTAACACACAACCTTAATTACTTTAGCTTCCTAGTAAATCTTGACATTTGATAGAGCAAAATCTCTCCATCTTATTTTTCTTCAGGCATATTATGTATTCTTGGTCCTTTCTTATTTCAAACATATTTGAAGAATCAGCTTGTCATGTTCTATAAAAAATTTAGAATTACAATGAATCTATAGACCAATTCAAAGAGAATTTATGTATTTATGATGTTAGGGCCTCCTAGCTCTGAACATCATATATCCCTCTATTTTAAATAAATTATTAAATGTCTTTTGTCAGAACTTTTCCATAGTCTTGTCCTAAATTTATCCATTCATACATTTTGCTGCTGCTATAAGTGGGATCTTTTTATTTAATGTGTTTTTGTCTCTTTTGCAGGTATATAGAAATGACGTTACATTTTGTTTATTGATACTATAACCATTTGCCTATGAAGTCTCATTGTGTTTGTTTATTTGTTTGTTTTCTGAGAGAGGGTCTCACTATATAGTCCAGGGTGGCCTTGAACTTGCAGCAATCTTCCTGCCTCAGTCTCCTGAGTGCTGGGATTACATACGTGCACCACCATGCCCAGTTCAAGATTCATTATTTTTAAGCAAGATTCTCATTTTGGAATAATTTTATTAGTGCTTTTTTTTTTTTGGTACTGCGGATCGAACTCGGGACCTAGCGATTGAGAGGCAGGTGGCAGAACCACTGAGCTAAATCCCTGGCCCTAAGGAATAATTTTAGATTTACAGAAAAGTTAGTAAAGAGATAGTACGGAGTTTGTACATACCCTTCACTGTAGTACATTTATCAAAACTAAGAAAGCAACATCAGACTTTAAATGGATTTATCAGTTTTTTCACTAATGTCCTTTCTTTTCCAGGATCCAATTCAAAGTACCACATTTTATTTAGTTGTTATGTCGCAGTAATGTTCTATGACAATTTCTTTGTCCTTGTTTTTCATGTACTTAACAGATTTGAGGAGTACTATAAAATGTTCCTCAATTTGGAGTAATATGACATTTTTCTCATGATTAGACTGAAGTTGTTTTTGGAGAGAACACCACAGGGAATACATAGTATCCATGTGACACCCTTGGTGATGTGAACCTTCATCCCTTGGTTAAGGTGCTGTTTCCCAGGTTTCTCTATAGGAAAGCCACTGTTTTTCCTTTTTAATATTCTGCTCTTTGGATAAATATAGCCCACCCTTAAGGAGAGAAGGATGAACTAAGCTCCAACTCGTAGAAGAGTGTATATCTATATCTATCTATGAATTCTGTAAAGGTTTATCTCACCCTTTATTTGTTTAATCACTTGTTTATAGTAGTATGAACTCATGCATATTTATTTAATAATTTGAGTTATAAATCTAATACTCTTTTCCTTGGTTTGTTGGTCAGATTGTTCTAGAATTGCTCACTGGAGGATCTTTCTAGGATGGTTCCTGTGTCCCTTTGACATGGCTCTGTCCTTTATTATTTGATCATTTCCTTTCTAGCACTAGAAGATGCTCCAAACTCATCTTATATTTTTCTGCCCCAGTCCTTGAATCAACCATTTCTCCAAGGAACCCTGATTTCTTCTAAGTTGGCTGATTATTATTTTGTGTTTTCTGTGTTGCCGACCATATCAGCTATAGATAATGAAAGTTTTATTTTTTCTTTTATAATTTTTATGCCTTTCATTTACTTTTTCTTATATTATTGGGATGGCCAGGACATACAGTAAAGTGTCGTCTAAAGAAGATGATAGTTGGTATCTCTGTCTTGTAGTGTACTTTAGAGAACATACCACTTACATTTCACTATTATTAAGAATAATAGAGGCCTGGGGATTTAGCTCAGTGGTTTTGGCGCCTGCCGTGCAAGCACAAGGTCCCGAGTTCGATCCCTGGTACCAAAAAAAAATAAAAATAATAGAGCTGGGCATGGTGGCACGCCCCTGTAAGCCTAGCATTCAGGAGGCTGAGGCAGGAGGATTGGCAGGAGTTCAAGGCCAACCTGGGCTACATAGTGAGTTCAATGCCAGCCTGGGCTACATACAAACACCCTGTCTCAAAAGACAAAACAAAAATTACTATACTTTCCTATAGGTTTTATTCCATCCTAGTTTTCTATGCTGTTTTTTTAAAAATCATGACAAGGTGTCGAGTTTTTTTTCAAATGACTTTTAATGGTTATGGTTTATTCTCCAAGAATCTGATAATGTGGTAAATTACATTTATATATTTTCCTCATACTTAGAACAACTTTGCATTTCTGGTATAAACAGAATTTGGCTATTGTGTTTTTGGTTTTAGATAGTACTTTAGATAGTACTTGATTTGGTTTGCTAATATTTTGTTTAGAATTTTTGCATCTGTGTCCATGAGTAAAAAAAAAGATCTTTAATTTTCTTTCTCATGCTGTCCTGATTTGCTTTAGGCATTATGGGTTTGCTAGGTCATAGAATGAGTCATTGTTGCCTCTTTTACGATATTCTGGAAGATATTGTATGACTTTGGAAAGATCTGTTGGATAGTACTCTCATAAAACCATTTTGATCTGGTGTTTTCCTTTTAATATTGAGTTGGTATTAAACTTATAAACTAAAATCTTACTAAAATTTTAAAAAGAAAATTGAAATCTGCTTTCATACCCTATTTATTGTATATAGAGTTTTATGTTTGAAATGACAAACTCAAGATTTTGTAATATTTTAAAATTCTTTTTTGTTTGTTTGTTTTCAAATTCTTAACAGTCACAGTCACCACCAACAAAAAATAACTTTATGCAAGTAGGTGGTAAGATATTTAAAACCAGTTTTTACATTGTTCAAGAATGTTTAACAATTGAAATTACACATACAAGCTTTTATTTTTGTTTCGTTAACAAATGCATTGTTAAAATTTTATAATGTGAGTAGATTTCAAATCCAATTGATTGCTTTCTTATTGACTATTTCAAAATAATGATGAAGCTCTTATTTGCAGAACATACATCATTATTAGAACCATCAAGCTGCAGCTAGCTTGGACATCATTAAAAGGGCTCATCAGCTACAAATGGATACAAGTATCTGACATTTATGAAGACAGAGTTTCAGGACTTCTACCTGGAGCTACACCCTCTAGAAGTCCCCGGTTGGCCTCCCCGCACCCAATCCCATCCCAACCAGTCACAACTTGGGCTGTGCATGGTGTTTCTTGGAAACTGGAACACAGACTCTTCCAGCAGCTCCACAGTTCCCTTGTCCTCAATAAGCAGAAGATTGCAGAAGCTGACTGCTGAAGAGGTCTTCCAAGCAATAGAACACCTCCTTGGCCCTGCCTAGCACATTTATCACAGAGCAGTAACTGAGTGCTGAGTGTTACTCATTTGTGCTTACCACCTGCAGGGACTGCAAGGGATTTGTCACACCCACTTCACTAAGGGCCACCCTCTAAGGATTTCTAGAAGAGGTTTACTTTAGAAAGGTGGTCTTCTTAGTGTCTCCATTGCCTCAGATCCTACTTGAACACCTCTAGGGCCAAGGGGATCCATATCTCTTCACCTACCTGTAGCCCACATACTAACTGGAAAACTGCTTGCTATTTTTTGTTTATCTCTTTGTTCTTTTAGTGTGAAGAGTTTTAACTATTGACTCAATTCCTCAATGGGACTATTGAGGATTTCTTTTTCTTCTTGAGTCAATTTTGGTAAGATATCATTTCCTAGGAATTAGTCCATTTTGTCTATGTTTTCAAAGTCATTGGCATAAATTTCCTTTATTTATTCTCTGCTGTATAAAATCTGTAGCAATGTTTCCTTTTTCATTGCTAATATTGGTTATGTGTGCCTTCTCACTTTTTTTCTTGATCAATCTCTCCAGAGGTTTGTCTATTTTATTAGTCTTTTCAAAGAACCAACTTTTGGCTTTGTTGCTCCTCTCTATTGTGTCTTTGTTTTCTATTTCTTTAATTTCTGCTCTTATCTTTTTTGATCTCCTCCCTTCCACATTTTTTGGGTTTATTCTGTTGTTCTTTTTCTGATTTCTTAAATTGGAAATGAGCTCATTAACTTTTAGTCTTTTTGTTTTCTAATTTATACATTTAAAGATGTAAATTTCCCACTAAATACTGCTTTTATACTAGTTCAGATAAGTAGTATTTCATTACTGTTCAGTTGTTTCAAATGTTTCAACATTTTCATTATAGTTACTTCTTTGACCCATGAGTTATATAAAAATATGTTTAAATTTACAAATGTTTAGGGATTTTAAATTCTGTCTCTTTGTTATTGAAATCTACCTTACTTCATTATGGTCAGATAATGTGATTCATGTGATAACAACTCTTTGAAATTTAATGAAACTTGTCTTATGGCTTAGTACATGATCAATATTTTTGAATGTTTCCTATGTGCTTTATAAAAATGTGTGTTCTCTAATTGTTGGATACAAAGTTCTGCATGTATCTATTATCAAGTTTATTAGCTGTGTTCAAATTTTATTTATCTAAACCTGTTCTTTGGTCATGATCTACCAGTAATTTTAAGAAGTATGGTAATCTTCAACTATGATGGTGGATTTATCAATTTCTCTCTATAGTTCTATCACTTTTTTTGCCTTATGTATTAACTACGTCCAAATTTTATTTAAACTGGTTCTTTGGTCATGATCTACCAGTAACTTTAAAAGGTATAGTGATATTTAACTATGATGGTGGATTTGTCCATTTCTCTTTGTAGTTCTATCATTTTTTGCCTTATATATTGTGAGGATATTTTATTAGGAATATTAAAATGAATAATGTTATATATTCCTGGTAAATATGTAATACCCCTCTATTCCTGATAATACCCTTTTCTCTGTTAATGTAGCAGCACAAGCTTGTTGTTAGGATTTGTATGATATATAATTTTACATTCTTTTACTTTTTAGAATTCACATGCTTTTATTCTTTTTTAACTTTATTCTTTTATTAGTACATATTTGTCATACATATTGATCACATTCATCATAGGGAATTTGTACCTGTAAAAACTAGAACTAAAGGTTACTTTCTTATGTTTCTTGAAAATGCAGTGGCGTATAGCTGGACCTTTAAAAATGTACAATCTGGTGACCTCTGTCTTTTAATTGGCAGGTTTAGTCTGTTTATATTTACTGTGATTTAAAATTTTTTTACCACCACATTTTCTTATTTTAGTTATTAACCATGAACTTTTGTATTCTTCATTTTTTTTTGACAGTCTTCCTAAGTCCCTAAATTGCCCAAGGTGAGCTGGAACTTGTAGTCCTCCTGCCTCAGCCTCCCAGAGTATTGGGATTACAGGTACATGCCACCTCATCCAGCTTTGTTTTCTTGTTCTGTTTTTTTCCTTTTGTTTGAGTTTCATTTTTTATTCTTTCTGAGGTTGTTCTTGAAATTTTACCTTGTATGTTTAACTTACAAGTTTAAAGTTAAACAATGTTTAATCCCCTCTTGAAGAATGCAGGAAGCCTGGAAATCTTCAACTTTAGTCATTCCTTTCCTAACCACATACTGTTGTTTTTCAAGTATGTTAGTTTTGTTTTTTCCTTTTTTCCTAACTTCACATTTACACATAATCATCAGTACTATTTTATATAGGCAGGATTTGTTTGACTTTACATGCATACATTCTTGCATCTCAGATTATCATTCTTGGATTGTTTTCTTTCATTATGAATACAGTGTTTAAATGTTCTTTTTGTGTAGGTCTCTTGGTGTTAAATTCTTCAAGTCTGTGTTATATGTAAATGTCTTTTCATTTCTTTCTTTTTTTTTTTTTTTTTTTTGGTACCGGGGATCAAACTTGGGACCTTGCGCTTGAGAGGGAGGCAGCGGAACCACTGAGCTAAATCCCTGGCCCTATATGTAAATGTCTTTATCCTCCTCCTTAAAAAGATAATATTTTGTGGGTATTGTCACTCAACCCTTAGAATATATGATCTAATTCTCTTTTGGCTTTGGGAAGTCTGCTTTGTTGCCATTTAAAAGTGTATTATGAGTTATATTGCTGTTGTTGTTGTTGGGGTGGAATGTGCAGGGGGTCTTGCAGTTTCTTACATGTTTGAGAATGATGGTTCAGAAAATTCAGTTTTTAATAATTTCTGGAAAATTCTCAACCATTACTTCCTTAAATATTGCCTCTCTTTCATTCTATTTTTTCTTTCTCAGAATCCAGTTAGTCATATTTTAAACTCCTTTATTCTATCTTTTGTATGTCATAACGTCTTTGATGTTTTCTATCATCTTGTCTTCTTGTACTTCATTTGGGGCAATTCCTTCTGATATATCATTCAGTTTACCAATTCTCTCTTCACCTATGTCTAATCTGTTGTTTAATCTTTCCATTGAATTTTTTTTACAAAAATTGCACTTTCATTTGCACAAGCTTTCTAATGTGATTATTCAGCCCTGATAGTCTCCTGTTGCTTGCTGTTCTTTGTGATTTTATCTATTACTTCTTTATTTTGTATAATTTCTGTTCAACCAGTTCTCACTCTTTGACACTGTAAATATTGTTCACATCTAGGCCACAAAATACACTCTGAGTACATATTCTTCATTGCATACATTTTTGTTTTCCTAGGAGCTGATAATTGTGTTTTGTTTTCTTCTAACTAGTGTTATGTAATAATACCCATTACTAATTCTTCTCTGAAATTCTTTTTTTTTTTTTTTTTTTTTTTGGTACCGGGAATTGAACTCAGGTCCTCGCACTTGCGCAGCAGGCACCAAAACCACTGAGCTAAATCCCTGGCCCTGAAATTCTTTTTAAAATCCAAATCAGATTGTGTCCCTCTTCTACTCAAAATTATCCCATGGCTTCTAGCTCCCTCAGAACAAAAGCCAGAACTTTCACCATAGCCCAAATGTTCCTTCATAATCTGGTTCCCTTCACCTCTCTGACCTCATCTCCTGTCACTTTCCCTATCACTCACTCTTCTCCAGCCACCCAGCCTCCTTCCTGCCCCTCAAGCATGCTGGTACCTTCCCTCTTCAGGGCCTTTGTTCTTGGTATTCTTCCTGCCCGGAACATCTTTCCTCCCACATAATCTGATGACTTGCTGAAGTATTTCCATTATCTTCAAATGTCACCTCCCTGATCAACATACATAAAGTAGCCCCCTTCACCTCCATTCTCTATCTCCTTACCCTGTTGTATATGTGATATTTTTCTATAGCTCTGATCACCACCTGATTGATTGATTGATTATTGTGGTTAGTGTTTGTCTGTCCCCAATAGACTGTAAGCTCCTCAAAGCAGGGATTTCTGTTTTGTTCACTGCTGTATCCCCAGTGCCAAAAAGAATAGTGCATAGCAATTCAATAAATATTTGTGGAATAAACTGAATGAATGCGTGAATGCCTTAATTGATGTGAAGGATAAAGAGAGAAATGCCTCGAAAAGTAGGGCAGGCTGGAAGACTTTTAATGCCATGCTAAGGAGCTTGGATGCCATTGTTCAGAAGAGTAGGGGCTGAGAAGAAACAGTGAGGACTGCTCCTGGGCTCTTTTCGGAAACAAGTTCTCAGGTGGTAAAACAGTGACAAAGCCCCATGTTCTCTGTGACTGACTCTGTACTCATAGGCTTGTGAAAATGGGCTTGTTGTCTTACCAGCCTGTTACTTAGTGAAAAACAAGGCCTACCTCTCACTGGGATCGCTTCTCTTGGAGTGTGAGGAACTGTTTCTTAGCCCCCAGGCCAAGCAGATAGCTCCCATTAGACTTTTATCTGTGCACTTGAGGGGAAGGGATAGTATAAAGCTGTTATAATGTGTGGTACATAGTAAATGCTGTTAAAATGATGAAGACCACAGGAAGGTAAGTTTTGATCAAAAGGACTTTTTTCCATTTTCAGAGTGGGATTTTTAGTCCTGACTTTGCTCCTAACCCCCTTGGGGACTAGCCTGGGTCCAGTGTTATTCCTTTCTGTGACTTTGGATACTAATTCTGTTTTCTAACATGTGACCTACTTTTTTTGCACTCATTAATTTCATCAGAGTGCCATCTGTATACACACAGCCTTGTGGCATGCCTCAAGAGACTTCCCTCTCCGGGCCAACATCAGTTCATTAATCATTTTCACCTTGGGTTTAACCATCCAACTAGTTACAAGCTCAGCTGAACATTGTTTGACTGACCACTTGCTATGTTTTAGACCTTCTGCTCCACACTGAAGACACAGGGCTGAGCCAGGTGTGTTCCCAGACACAGCACCATAATTTCAGGACAGTGAGGTCCATGCAGTAACAGTGGTCATTGCAGTAAGCTGTGAGAGCCCCTAAGGACCACACAGCCAGATCAGGAGGCCAGGAAGCTTTCTTGGAAGAGATGGCATGTGAACTAAGTCTTAAAAGATAAGTAGAAATCATCCAGTTGATTAACAAGGGATGAAATGGTAATCTAGGCAAAGGCTACACCATGGGCAGTGACCCAAGGACAGGAAGTGACATGGTATGGACTACCCTGCCTCATTACATTCACAGCTCACCTGACTTTCACAAGACCATCATAAGACACTTTTTAAAAATTTTTTGTTGAGACAAGGTCTTAGTGAGTTGCCCACACTGGCCTTGAATTCATGATCCTCCTGCCTCAGCCTCCCAAGTTGCTGGAATGACAGATGTGGGCCACTGTACCCAGTGTAGGAGACTTTGAGACATACCAAAATCCAGACATGAGTTTGTGGGGCCTCCCCAATATGCCTATCTAGCAGTTATTCAGAAAATTATTGAAGAGCTGGTCTGACATGACTATCCGTGAAGTTGTCTATACTAGTTTCTGGCATCCCTGGCTTTCTTTTCTAGAAGGAAGTATTCTGGGATTCCAGTCACTCCCATTGTCCAGGAAGTTATAGGGTCTCCCTCAGCCCCTGTGTGTGGAGAGGAGTTTTCTGATTTGAAATTTTACTATACAGATTTAACCTGAAATCTAAAGCTAAACATTATCATAATCCTCACCAAACATGAGGACTTTATAAAACTTTGATGTCTCCCAACTTACACATTCTTGTGACTATTTTATTTACTGTTTTAAGGAAAACATTAACACCAAAAAATATTAACAGCCTCATTATTTTATGCAGACAGTATTCTTTTAGTTTTAAATATTAGTCATTTTATTTGCCCATGTGTCTTCTTAAACCTCAGACTTCCCTTTTGTGGATGAATTTTCTTCTGGAAATGTATACCTTAGACGATCCTATAGCACAATCACTTAATAAGAAACTCTCAGTGTGTATTTATCTATAAATGCCTTTTGAAACTTTATTTTTCTTAAGACAGATTTGTTGGATACCCAATTCTAAACTACCTCTTTTCCTCCTTAACACTTATTACACTGTCTTCTGGTTTCCATTATTACCAGTGCAAAGGTTTATTAGTCTAATTGTCTTTGTAGATGTCCTTTTATCTCCAGCTGCTTTGAAGAGTATTTAATTATTGCTTAACTCTAAGAATTTTTTCTTTCTTCTCTGCATGTTCCTTTTTGTAGCTTCCTGAGCTTGCTTTATGAATGTAATATTTTTTCCTGGTTACTAAGAACATTAAATAAAAGTGTCTTCTTTTTCAAGTGCTCTTCTCTCTGCATAGTTTTTTTTTTCAAATACATATATTTGGGTGTCAGCTGCAGTGGAAAAACCCACTGATGCCAGATTTGACCAAAGGTACCACCAATGCCAAAGACATGACATATTAGAGAGAGTTTATATAGATAATAGGAATAGAAGCACCTCTACTAGAGTACAAACATGAATCATTACCACAGTTCTGTGACTTAAAAGCATGGTACTGCAGTGGGCTTTGGAGTTAGACTGCCTGGGTTCAAATTCAGATCTGCCATTTAATAACTTGTCAAGTCCCTTAACCTCTGTCTATGTTAGTTTTTTCTTCAATAAAAATGGGGATAAAGATAGTGCTTACTTCATAGAGTTATTGAAGGTATTAAATAAATTAATATACATAAAGTGTTTAGTGCCTGACATATAGTATGTGCTGTAATATGTTTGCTGTTATTACCATTATTACTTTTGTGCCAAGGGGATTGAAGGGAGAAGAGCTTCTGTAGTGCCATGGGGAAAATAGCATATCTGGTCTGTGTGTTCCCCCAGTGTCTTGGAAACAAAAGCCATCCACAAAAGCACAAGGTCAGGAATTTAAATGGTTATTTGGGCACCTTAGGGTGTGGGACGTCAAGCTAATTATGTAGTCAGAATGGGATAGAATTCAATGGGAAAATGGGAAGCATCCCTTAAAGGTTAATCCTCTAGAGGTGACCTATGCTGGCTATTTCCTCATTGAAGCAAAGCACTATCAAATGGGGAAGCAGTGACAGAAGGATGGGGATTTCCTAAACATTTAATAATGCTTTTTTCTTAGCAACTAACCTGTCATATACTATAACTCTTCAAGTTGGGAACACACTTGTTAAAGAGGCAAGGCTGCTGCCCGGAGTTAATTCACATTCTCAGGGGTAGGACTGACCACATAAAAATGCTTTCAAGTATCTGTTCTAAATTCTCATGGGCCCTCTCAACTTTGGGGAAAGTCTTAGCCTCAGTAACCACTCCATACACAGTCTAGAGGATATGAGCATGAGGAGTCGGTCATACTGAAAATAAGTGCTTGGTGGGGAGGCAAATTCGAGGAAACGTTAGGGTTAAAAGTAAAAGTTTAAGAGATATAAAAATTCGAAATAAATTTTATTTAATCTAGTAATGTATTAAGAGAATAACACACAATGTACAGTGTTTACCCCATGAATGTACAGTGGGTTTAACTTTAGAAAATCAATCAGTACAATTCATCGTATTAACAGACCAAAAAGAAAAGTCATATATACTCATTGCCATAAATGCTGAAAGAGCAGTTGATGGACTCCAACATCCATTCCTGATTTTAAAAAACCTTTAGGAATAGAAGAAAATTAGTTCAGCCTGATGTAGGGCATCTACAAACACACACACACACACACACACACACACAGCTAACGTCATATTCAATGGTGAAAGACTGAATATTTTCTGCCCAAGATCAGGAATAAGATAAGGATGTTCCTTCCTACTTCTGTTCAGCATCATACTAGAGGTTCTCACAAATACAGTCAGGCAAGATAAGTAAAACGCATCCAGATTGAAAGAAAATGAAGAAGTAAAACTCTCTTTACAGCCAATATGATTGTCTGTGTAGCAAATACAGTGGAATCTACTGAAAGAAAAAAACTACCAGGACTAATAAGTGAGCCCAGCAAGATGGAGAATATAAGGTCAAATTCCAACCCTAATTGTGTACCTGTATTCACATTCTCACAAATACTGGAGGCAATTGATAAAGAGAAAGTTTTCAGGAAGCTGAGGCAGGAGGATAGAAATTTCAAGGCCAGCCTGCCTACATAGCAAGACCCTGGTGGGGTGGGTGGTTAACTCACAGTTCTGGAGGTTCCACTCCAAGATCAGGTGGCCCTATTTCTTTAGACTTCTGTGAGGGTACTGGATGGCAATAGTGGGGGCTCACTGAAGCATACCACTTGGAGGTCTCCAGACAGACCACCGACCACACTGAGCGGGAGCAAAATCAGCTTTATTGCCGGCGGCTTCAAGGGATTTAAATTGCCTCAAAAGTGTCAAACAGGAGTTTACTCTCATTCTTATATCTTTAAGTTTCTACGGGAGGGGAAACAGCAACCGTAGTCAATGGAGAAACACCCATCAATCTAAGCATAATTACAGAAGCAGAGGGGCAATGAAGGGGGAGCAGGAGGTTTGGCAGGGCTTTCTGAGATCGCCTTGCTCTAGTGAGTTTGCATTACAGTAGTGACTATAGTTACAATATATCTTTCTCAGCAAGCATAGTTACACAGTTAACCCATAGTCGCCCATTTTTACACCGGGAGACAGTTTTCGCCCTCAGTGTCAGAGCAAAGCATTCACATTGTAAGCCAGGAAGGACAAGACTGTCAGAGTCCTGTTGCTGGATGTAGTAGAGCACACCTGTAATCATAGTGCTCAGGAGGCTGAGGCAGGAGGATCTCTGTGAGTTCAAGGCCAGCCTGGGCTACATAGTGAGTTCAAGGCCAGCTTGGACTATACACCAATACCCTGTCTCAAAAAACTAAAAAAAGAAAAAAAAGATTGTCAGAGTCTGTGTATCTCTTTTGACGGCATACCCTCAATGACCATAAAGTTCCACTTCTTAAAGGTCCCCAGGCCTTCCCAATAGCACATCCTGGGAACCCAGCCTGTAATACATGGACCTTTAGGGGACGCTCATCCAAACCATAGCAATATCTACATCCTAGCAATAAATAATTGGGCATAAAAATTTTAAACAATTTATAGTATTTTCTAAAATGTAACTTAGAAATAAATCTGACCAGAAACTAGAAGGTGGACTTTGGAAGGAGGAAGGGGCCTAAGGAGAAGAGGGTAATAGGATTGAAAATGATCAAGATATGTTAAAACATCTACCAATTTCCCAAAATGAACCTCATCGTTCTGTTTTATTAATATGCTTTAAAAAGAACAATACCAAAGAAAACTTTTAAGATTAATAAATAAATCTGACTGCCCATCTTGGTAGTCCAAGCGACTTAGGAAGCTGAGACAGGAGGATCACTCGAGAAAGCCTGAGCAACGTAAGAGACCCCATCTCAAAGAAAAAAAGGGTAGGATAAATCTGACAAAAGACGTGAAAGACCTGCACACCTGTGTGTTAGTTTTCCTTCACCATAACAATACCTGAGGCAATTAATTTATAAAGAGAAAAGTGTTATTTTTGGCTCATGATTCTGGGTAGTCCAATCCAGTTTGCTTTGGGCCCCAGGCTAGCATAGCCCAACAGGGTAGGATCATATTGCAGAGCTTGTCACATCACAAGCCACGAAGGAAAGAGAGCAACAAGAGACCGTGGTCCCACAATCACCTTTGAAGGCATAACCCCAATGACATAAGGACCTCCCATAAGTCCCTATCTCCCAATAGCACTACCCTGGAGACCAAGCCTTTAAGCATGAACCTTTCCAGGACACTGTCATCTAAACCATATTGGATGACGCCTGTATTACTGAAAGAAAAAAGTGTAAAATAGATGGGAAATTTAACATCTATAGATCAAAAATCTTTGTATGTTACAATGTTAGTTTCCTCCAAATTGATCTATAGATTCAATATGATCCCTATAGAAATCTCAGGCCAATCCTTCCATAAAGAGAAAAACAGCCACACCATGTATCCTCTGTTAACCTAAGCCAGAATGCACAGGTGAGTCTGGCTCAGACAGGCTGTACAGGGCTGGTCATGACCAGTCTTGACCATATGCTGCCACAGTTCCAGCATGCCTCCCCACTAGCACTGCAGCTGCCTGGAGCAGGTGTGGACACGCTTTGCACCTCAGAGTAGTTACCTGCTGTGATCTACTGATGGTAGGGGATGGTCATGGGGAGATCAGAAACAGAAAAATCAGGGCAGCCCATACCTCATCCGACCCTATGGTTACCAGAAAGCTAACTGCTGGTCCACACAACAGCCCTGCTGAAGCCTTGACTGTGCTGAGCTATGGGTTTATTTCTCCACACTCATTCACGACCTTGCACTCTGATTTCCCCAGAAGCAGCTCTTATATACTCTAAGGAAGCCCAAAGCCAGACAGTGACCCAGAGACTCACTTTAGCTTATCCTCCCGGGCAGTTCAGCATCTGACCTCACCAATAGCCCCTATGTAATCTGAGAAGGGTGTGTTTGCCATTTAAAGTCTTCAAAATGATACAATATTTTACCTAGGGATATATACATGGGAGGTCAAACTTTCATGAAAAGCAAAGGGAATGAGAACATAAAGGTCAAGTGTAGGGAACAGGGAAAGGGGACGTTACTAGGACCTCTGCAGTAAGTCCTAGTCTCTTTTGAGCCACGGCAGCACATGGCGAATTAACTTACTATACAAGAAAGGTAGAAAAAAATGAGACTTTGAGAAGAAGCTGAGCTTTGAGTCTGATCAGTGCTGCTCTGGGTGGCAAAGGCGAAAGCCCACAGCTTACCGCACCTTTTATTCAGTAGATCAGGAGAAACAAATATAACAAATGACTTGCAGAGAGTTTAGTACATTCAGATAAACAAGGTGTAACAAATGACTTGCAGAGAGTTCAGTACATCTGCATAAACAAAGTGTAACAATCCAAGAACAATGAGGAACTGAGTAGATGAAGATGTTGTTCCTCCCAGGATGTCTTCAGCTGGTGTAATCTTGTCCTGGAGCATCACAGCATCACCTGGTCATTGAGGTCTCAGTTGTGACCGGGGTGTGGGGCTGTGTGTGGGGGGGTGCAAAGTGAAATTGTGTCTCAAAATCCCATAGCTGGCCTGTAGGCAGGAGAACTAGGCCTAATCAAATGATTTTTCCCTAAAATTATGGAGCATTGCTCCCGACAGTCAAGACAGTCAAGTGGTTTACTCTGGGGCAAGGGAAGGAGTACGGTATATGAAAGGATCCACAAGAGGCTTCTAAACGCTGGAATGTTGTAGTTCTTTAGCTAATTGGTGGGTG